AACTATACATATATATATACACACACAAACATATGCTCAAGATATAGAAATATAAGAAAATTGAAATTGCGGTTATTGTACGTACTCCCTTCACATCATACAGAACTTACAAAGTCAAGTCAAATTAATCCTATTCATGTAGCCAAAATCCATTAGTGGTGGAATCAAAAATCGAGTCAACTTTACCCCCCCAGCCCAGCCCTCCCAAGACCACGTAACAGAATTTCTTTTTGTTCTCATTCTAAAATCACACAATGTTCAACTATGTTTAAAATATGCTAGCTCTTTTGAAAAATCTAACTCACTTATTTAGAATATGAAGCTGTTTTCCTATAGTTGACACACACACACACACACACACACACACAACCTCCCACACACTAATGATAGGGTGTGTGGTTAGAGACCAAAGGAAACGCAGAATATTTTGGTCCACACAGATGTGAGGAGGAACTCTACTTTTTTGTGTCCTGTTGGTGTTCATACTGTGTCTCGGTATGCACATAGTAGTTCTGTTACTGTTGCAGAATTTGGAGTGTTGGAGTGTATTTGTTGTTTATATCCCCTTTGATGCCACGGAAACCTTACTGAATTATTTTAAAAGTCCTTCAGCTCTTTATCATACTGTCCTTGAATGAGCACAAATTCAATTGGACCACTTTATGAAACAAAAACAACCTTTAATTGTTAGTTGACAACAAAGATACTCCTACTTACATTAATACATCAATTGTTCATGTAAAAACAATTGGAAAATAAATAAAATGTAAAAAGTTTTCCCAATTTTTTTGTCCATAAAGGTGTTGACATTAATCGGCTGGGAAGCCTGTCAGTCATGTGGTTCCCATGACGATGGTTTGGTCAGAGGAAGGTAAAGCAAGAGTCACAAGTGGTGCGCGGTGAATATTACGAATTTTGTTTTGGCATTGGCTACGGCTCACAGTAGCACGTGCTCCTGGCTGATAAACTTTGAGATGGTAATATATTTCTTAATTCATAATTAGTGAATTATTGGCGGCAACTTTCCTAATGGCTGATGGCAGTTCACGAGATCAACATCGGCCGATATCGATGTTCGTCCAATGCGCCAGTGCATCGCTAAATTTTTTCGATTGCTACTTGCAGCATTAACTTAGTTACAAGCAAGTCTTAGCATCTTGGGGGGAAAAAAGGTGAGATCACATCATCATAGAGAGCTCACCTTTAACCTTTCAACAACCTAGATTTAGCGTTCACCACTAGACGTGTGCGCCCTTTACATTTCCTCACCTCATAAACTTTCTTTTGTTGTTCATTTGAGACCACACACTTTGTAAGGTGAAATTTTGCACTGGTTACTATACGATGTACCGCCTTTTCCTTTTTAAAAAATATTTTATCTTTTTTTATCTCTTTTAAACTTAAATACAAAAATATAAACATACAGCTCAATATAACGACATAACACAAATCCCTTTAAAAAAAATCAGTGCAAACAGTTTATACAGTACCACTTGGAGTAACATACGTAATTTAAATATGGCTTTTAAACACCGTATATTAGGGGTGAAATGGTAGTTGTACTGCACCGTTCGGTACTGAAACTGTGTTGGGGACATGTCTGTATTTGTATCGTCCTGTACCAAATGGTTTAGGATGAAAACAAGGACTGTACATAACCCTAGTCCCATAAATAAGTAGAAAAAACTGAAGAATCGACCACAAGAAACAAACTGCAAACTGTATATTCCTAGATTTCAGTTGACTTGGTCATATTCCTTACTTCACTTCACTCAGGTTGCCCTTGACTAGTTTCCCAGCTGGTTGACAGCATCCCCCCCAAAAAATTGTTCTCCTTTCTTAGCTCATTAATACTCGAGCCGATGTCAACCAGTTGGTCCTCCACTCTGTTTTGGCAACTTGACAGCTCACTTTATCCAGCATGGTTTCCAGTCCAGAGATTGATTGCTGTGATTCTGCCATCTTTAGAAACATTGCCCTTCTTTATCTCCTTGAACGAATGAGTGTGAGTAGCTCTCCACTATCCAGGTATTCCTGTGTCATCGCTGCTATCATTTCCTCATGTTCGCACTCGGCTGTTAAAGTCCGTTCACTCACCTTTTTTTGGCTAGGAGGCTTATTCCTGGATCTCAGGACCTTACCACAATTATCAGATCAAGTTAGGAGTGGGTCTGGGTGTTTTCAATTATTTTAAATTGCATTTGTTTGGAGTTTCAGTGACTCATGTGAACCTCCACGTGATGCCTTTTCTTAAACAAGAAAGTCGCTCTTAGCGTTAATCCATCTGGATGTAACTGGGCGTGGAGTAGTTGAACAAGAGGAAGTCAAATTTGTAAAGCTGGTAGAGTTGGATCTGCTGTTTACTGCTGATGTTACTAAAAAACTTGGCTGTCATGGCATCTGTGGTACGAGTGGACTTGGTGTAGCTAGGAAAGTGCAGGTAATCACCGACACCCACAAGGCGCAATATGTAGTTGGCATCTTCCTCGAGAGTCTCATATTTTCCCACCAGGTCGTAGTGAATATGACAGGGGTGGCAAAGCTGATGCACAGTCTCCCAGTGTTCGTTGAGTTGACCTTCACGCTGTGTGGCTGGATCCACTAAGTACTCAGCAAATTCTTTAAATTTCACATCATCCCCATTGAGTAAGGCATCGTCAGTAGCGTTTTTTCTATATCGGCGGACTATGCGCGTTCCAAAGCGCTTGTGAAAGGAGGAGTTGTACTTAAGGGTGAACTTGTTGCGGTAGGCGGAGATCAGCCTCTCGAATGGCTCACGAACAAAGAGAAACTTGAGGTAGTTCTTCAAGCGGTGGTTGATCTCTGCAATGCTATACTGGTTCATTGTCTTCAGGTTGGATGACAGATGGGCTTCATTTGATGGGATTTCCATTGGGTTACTGTAGAAAAGAGAAAAACGGAGAAAGTGAAGGTATCTGTTGTCCACCTTTTCTTCCTGTGTTGTTGATCTTATTTCTGTTAGATATGGTAACTTTTCTGTTCCTCGCAAGGTACCTTATCTGTTAATGAACTAGAAAAGTATTACATCATATTATATCAAATATTAAAAGTCC